CCAAATCGATTATGCTTCTACTAGTTGGCTCTGTAATAAACAAGCTTTCAATTGACGTAAATACTTCTTTTGGCAAATGAATACGCGATAAACGACAGCGCGTTGAAATCTTCCGTTTTTGACGTCTTGCAAGTCAAACGCTGTTAATTTATACACCGTCGAAGTAAACAATTTAATCAAGTATTCTAAGTATTTACCTTTTGAGAAAAAACATATTCTTGAATGGGGACTTTTCGCTTTGCTAAGTTTAAAAGTGGTCCAGAAATCCCGGTATATTTGTAAAAAAATCATCAAACATCCAGTATTTTGAGACATTGTTGACGGTTGCATGATAAACTTCAGATCATTATTCAACGTGATCTACTACCCGGCCGTTTGACTTTAGCGCTAACATATACAAATCGATGAGCTATTTAAGGATTATATTTGCTACTAAATTCCCCAAAAGAATTGGAACTACAACTGCTGTTTTCAGAGGTTTTGATCCTTTTTGTCCATATCAATGTACCATTTTATTTATCGACTGATGTTTACAAATACGTAAGTTAATTATTAAGCAGCTGTTAGCGTGCGTGTACATGTGAAATGAACGCTTATAATGTTTATCCATATAAGGAGTTTTTATTTTTAGTTTACCAGCCCTTAGATTTGAATAGTCGTTTTCTTTCAAGTTGTTTTCTTTTTTATACTCTGCAAAGTTGATTCCGAAATGTTAAGGTATTAAACTATCGAACGTTTCCATGATATTTACAGAGAAACATCACAGCTGTAAACCCCCCTCCCCCACCCCCAAAACGAACATATGACGTTTCTTGTGGAAAAAATCGATATGTGAGGCTTCCCTAAAACTGCAAGGTTTACACTATTGAATTAAAATCCCACAGACCACAACGATTACACGTATTGATTGTTTCTTGACGATAGTAGACGCGTACGTGCATGTTGCGGAAGAGGTTATTTCGCTGGCCTCAGAGTGACAAAAGGTACCCTGGTTCTAGAGGTTTAAAATAATAAACCTCTGTTTGAAAGCGGCAATTAATTCATCGAGCCGCGCTAATCAGCTTGAATTAGGGTAGATAGTTAATATGATAAGACAAGGGCGGCGCCAGGGCCGCCCATGCAGGGAGGCGGCAAAGGGAGCAATTTTCTCCGCGACCCCAGCTCAAGGAAGACAGGCAAATACAAATTTGCAAGACGATAAAAAGTTTGTCGACGGAGGGGGGTAATTGTGGTTCACCGGGGCCCCAAGAATATAATTGGCCCTGGGGCTCCATATTTCACTGAACTGGTTTGTGCTGCACCAGTATTTTTCCGACAGGGGGTGTCATCAGTGCTATCTTTTGATCTTTGTCAATTGGCAAAAAACCCGCAAGAACTACCGACAAGTGACCAGGGCCGGATTAACGTCGCGCGAGGCCCGTGGCAAATTTTAGCGCGAGGCCCCCAAACCTCCCCCTTTCTTCTTTTATGAAAACCATTGAATTTAAAGACACACAAAAGTGTTAAATAATTTTTTTCAATATTTCAATTTATTTGCATCAATTATAAACGAGATAATGGCCTGCCTGGCGCAGTTGGTGGGTATAAACAGGATCATAATATAACAGCTCAACGCAACTAGAGATTATATGAACACGAGTATTGCATATTTTCCCGGGGCCGTGCTAGGGCGAACTGCCAAGCCTAGGGGCCCTAAATGCGCGAGGTCCCTAAATTCGAGAGGCACCTAAAATGGGTGTGTCCCAATAGAAATTGTCGTGTTCTCGTAAAAATGGGCGTAGCACAGTAAAGCGCAAGGCCCGCGGCATTAGCCGTATTTGACACGTGGTTAATCCGGCGTTAAACGAGCAACAAGCTTTCATATTCTTTAAACGCGACGTATGGGGAGACAATAATAATTTGTGGTGTCGCACTGGGCCAACATATCTAAATCTGTATTTTTGTGTACTAGTACTTGTGAAATATAATAAGATCAATAGACATTAGTGTATCAAAATAAAGTAATTTTACTGATTATTTTAACTGTGCATCAAAGTAAACACACATTATTCTAAACTACAGTATTTGCTATATGCCTATAATTTGAGTTTAGGTGGTAGAATATATAATAAAATAACAAATCCTTGTATGGATAAATGTTCATGTCACACGCACGCTATTAACAGTTGCTTAATAATTAACTTATGTATTCGTAAACATTTATACTCGATAGTCGATATGTAAATACTAAATGGTACATTATATGGATCAATGCAAACTGGAACAAAACAACAATTGTCAATTGAAGTTCTAATTTTGGGAAATTTAGTAACAAATTTAAAATCCCTAAATAGCTCATCGATTTGTATATGTTTGCGCTATTTAAAGTAGATAATATGGAACAATGATCTGAAGTTGTCATGCAACTGACAACAATATTATATTTCAAAATACCTGTATATGATGATATTTTACAAATATCTCGGGATTTTTGGACCAATTTTAAACTAAGCAAGGCAAAAAGTCTCCATTCAAGAATATATCTTCTTCTCAAAAGGTAAAATACTTAAAATACTTGATTAAATTGTTTACTTCGACGGTATGTAAATTAACAGCGTTTGACTTGCAAGACGTCAAAAACGGAAGATTTCAACGCGCTGTCGTTTATCGCGTATTCATTTGCCAAAAGAAGTATTTACGTCCATTGAAAGCTCGTTTATTAAAGAGCCAACTAGTAGAAGCATGATCGATTTGGAGCTTTATCGCATGGTGAAAATCGATTTTGTTAAGAGGGTATCGTAAATGAAGTAAAATAGTGTGCTCCAAAACTACGCTTATTTCTATTCCTAAAAGTAACTCAGATTTCCTGTAAGTCATGTACACAGTCCTTTGAATAACCGAAAACAAGATTTTTAGGGGTTTAGATCGATTAGAAACGGTTGTCGTCGTGAAATTTATCTGTAAAATCAGCGCATATTTTCCCAGAAAAATGGCGATTTAGGGTGGTCGTGTTAAAACGGCATTTTCTCAAAGTTAAAAAAGCATTTGACCTAAAAAAATATATGGTGCATTTTCCGATATAATAAGGTATATCTGGGTAAAATTTGAGCAAAATCGATATTTCAGTCGTGGCCGCGAAATGTCTCATATGACTGACATTCACTCTTAATGACTACTTTGCGTCAGTCTTCAACCGCAGCGAATCGGAAGGGTATCTGTCCCCGCCTCTCCTTACGTCTCCAAATCCAGAACATGCTCTCTCTGATATTTTCCTAACAACTGAGGAAGTTTTAAATACACTTCTAGCTCTCGACCCCAACAAGGCCACAGGTCCCGACGGCATTCCTTCTCGACTTCCCAAAGAGACTGCACAACAGATTGCACCATCACTGACCGAGCTTTTTAATAGTTCACTCAGCTGTGGCGTTTTTCCTGACGACTGGAAGCTTGCGAACATCGTCCCGGTACATAAAAAGGGAGATAAACGTTATGTTGAGAACTATAGACCTATCTCACTCCTCAGTGTTATATCTAAAGTCTTTGAACGGTGTGTGCTTAGAAATGCAAGAGATCAATTGCTAGATTTGATCATCTGTTCTCAAAAACGGATTCATTCCAGGAAAATCATGTACAACCCAACTATTAGCGGTACACGATTACATTGGGTCCTTGCTGGATGCTGGTAAGCAAACAGATGTTATCTATATGGACATGTCAAAAGCCTTCGACAAAGTTAACCATGAAACCCTACTCAATAAGCTAAACAACTGTTGCTTCAAGACCTACTTGTTAGACCGTAGGCAACGCGTTACTGTGCTAGGCGCCACCTCCTCTGAAAAACTTGTACCGTCAGGAGTACCACAGGGTTCAATATTAGCCCCTATACTTTTTCTCCTCTACGTGAACGACCTTCCAGATGCCATTAAGAACTCCAAGGTTTCATCTTTCGCAGATGACACTAAGGTATTTAAGTGCATTGACTCCATCTCGGATGAAAGCTTGCTTCAGAGTGATCTGAATAGTCTGGGCAATTGGTTAACTAATTCCGGACTTATCAATTTAATCAAGACAAGTGCAAGCTTCAGCAAATTACCAGGAAAAAGAACCCGATCGACTTCGAATTCCCCCACGAGATAAATAACAAATTACTGGAAATTTCATAGGAAGAGAAAGACCTGGGTATTTGGGTTACTGGTGCGCTTACCTGGTCAAAACACACCTTTGACCGTTGTGCTAAGGCTAGCAAGTTGCTTGGCTTCCTGCGCAGATCTGCTGTGGAAGTCAAAAATCCAAACACCCGCCGCACGCTTTACCTGGCAATTGTGCGTCCTGCATTAGGCTACGCCACACAAGTCTGGTCACCGCAGTCAATTGAACAAGTCAGAAAGTCAGAGCGCGTTCAACGTCGAGCTTCGAAATTTATCCTTAAGCTGCCTTTCACGTGTACAGAATCCTACAAAGACAGACTGATGTCTATAAATCTGTTACCAGTCTCTTATTGGCATGAGTATCTTGACTTGATGTTCTTTTTTAAGGCCATGAATGGTGTTATAACTGTTCCGAAGGAAATCTTGCCAAAACGATCTGCTCCCTCAAGGCCTACTCGATCATCTTCCAATAACAGTGTTACCTCGTACCGTCCTCGTAGATGTAAGACAGCCACCTATCAACGGTCATTTTTTATTAGAGCAACTACAACATGGAACTCCTTACCCGAACACTTAAGACTAGATCATTTATCTCTAACGTTATTTAAAAAGTCACTATTAGAATACTACCATAATGCCCTTGTATCTTGTTACGACGTGGATGATGCTCGAACCTGGAAAACTGTTTGCCTGAAGTGCAACACATCGCATAATCTAATCGATGCCGATCCCTGTTGCTACTAGACTAATTAGTTGATTTTTTTTCGTCTGTAATTTGTCACTAATTCTAACTAAAGGGCCCACAGTAATTGGTGTAAACTGTTGTGGTGTCCCCGCCTCTTTTTATGTCTCGTGTATATGAATTGTTGTCCTTGTATTGTGTACGTTTTTTGTCAAGGCGAAGCTAAATAAATAAATAAATTATGTGACGTTATTAGAGTCTATGGGAAATGAAGTTGGCATACTGGAACACTTCTTCAAGAAACCCAAAGTTTATTTATTTATTAAAAAACCCATAACAATAACAATTTTCATTGTCGAAGTTCAATTTTTCCGTTTGCCGATTGGTGAAAACAGTATCACGTACCGGTCCACAAAACGTCATGCTCACTGCATGCTTTGGCGAGGAGGCAACCTGTCCAGAATGAAATTTTATTGACCGGTCGGCAATAGAGTGGGTGCAATGCGCATGCGCGTCATCCATGAAGTTCCAAAGTTCATTTTTTCAACTTTTTATTAAACATTTACAGCGTTCCATTTTTAATATCTAGTTTTGCTTTCAAATTATGTTCACTCCAATAGCCCGTGAATTATTCATACTTTGACACTTAATATATACTATATAATAAAACACTTATTTACTGAGATCGAGGGAAAGCATAAAGGCGGTCTCGGGTCCACAAAACACACTGTTTCCCTCGATCTCAGTAAATAAGGGATAATTATTTACCATTTGTAAAACTTGTATCCATAGGCACTTTTACACACCTCTTATAGACTTTCACATTGGAAAGCTTTACCAACAGGAAATACCAGTTTTAAGCGTTGCTAGAGTACCCCATTATGTATTTGCTAGAAAGTGTATCTGCGAGCAATTGTTTCCTTAATATGTTAATTATCAGATCCTTTTACCAATCACTATGTGGATAAGATGTTGGAAGCAAACACCGTAACGAAAGTGCAAGTATAGATGGGTGGGTGGGATTTTAACTCTGTAACTTGGAGCTCGAGGGTTAATCCTTGAAGGGCTCTGAGCCATTAATGACAAAAAATTGCGCATGATGCACAACTTATGCACCTACTTGCCTTGCGATTGGCTGTCGATTTTAGTTGGGATACGTAAAAGTATTTTATTGTTATTGGCTAAAAGCGTTTCTTTCATCATTTTCATGAGAACACAGTGCTGTTTCAGAAAATAGCCTTGGACCCACCAACAACTTCATATACGGAAATCTCGACTTGCACCTTTGCCCTTTGGCATGTCAATGAGCGTAAGCTTGCAAACCACTTGCTTTCAACATCTTGTAGTCTCATTAACTGAATTTAAATATTTTAAATTGGCTTTTTAACACTAGTGTAATGTGGGAAATGAATTTTTTATGCAATGTTCTGTAATTTAATGTAGTGAAACGTTATAAATTACAAAACTTTGTTACTAATCGTGGTATTTCATTTAAGGTGGAGTAATACGGGCAACAAAATTGCTGCAACTTGCAACAAAATCTGATTTCAACGCATGTTAAGTAGAAATGTTGACACATGTTGCCCCGTGGGGTAATGTATGTATGAACATTTTCAATTAACATGCGTTGAAATCAGATTTTGTAGCAAGTTGCAGCAATTTTGTTGCAGCTCGTATTACTCCAGCTTTAGCTTTGGTTAAAAATCAAAATAATGTTGAGTTCTTATACATCAGGTACCATATAATTATAAACAATTTGTCTTTCCGGCAACTTGGATGCAATGTGTGCATTGTTCGACATCTTTCACTCCTGTTTACAGTATTATTTTCTTACTGTATTTCTGCAGATAGAAGACGTTTATAAGTCAGGGTTCGGTCTAAGGAGATCTCCAAAATGTGTAGCTTTACTTCCAACAAATGCTTCATATTTATTCACCATCTCGTCATACGACAACACATGATCCTAATGAGTAATGAAACAAAAGCAATAGTTAAAATAAGTATTCTGCGAATTTCCATACATTGCACAGAGTGATGTAGGCCTAATATATGAACAACGAGAGCGAGTGTTTCACCGGGATATCCAAACACGAGAAAACAATGTATGAAGACACGAGCACGAAGCGCGAGTGTTTTCATACATTGTTTTCGAGTGTTTGGATATCCCGCTGAGACACGAGCTCGAGTTGTTTATATGGCTTCTCAAATGAATCGAGACGTAACAGAATGTTTTCGCGTTTGCTGATTTGAATAGAATTCTTAACCAAGCATAAACGTAATTAGGAATTCTATTCAAGTAATTTTGCATGCGTAATTAAGATATTTGATCAAAACACTAGTGACTTTCATCAAGTTTCACCAGGTTATGAGGTTATCCAAATGGCATCTTGTGATCAAATAGGTGATTATCATTGACTGAATTGCTCATGAATTATTAATGAATTTGAGAAATTTGAAAGAATTACGATCGACGTATATTTTGAAAGTTTTCAAAACATTTTAAATATTTGTTTTTACTGGTGAATAAAAGTTTCATCCAGGGCTCAGTCCAGTAAGATGCATGAATGCATTAACTTTAAAGTGCTACTGCAGCGAATTTTTCGACCCTCATTTTTTTAGCTTAATTAAAAGTGCTTTCCTTCCCGACCTGTTTACCACAAACAGAATTGAAATTGGTCAATTCAAACCGATTTTATAGCCTTCCAAAGTGGCCATTTTTGGCACTTCCTGTGCGAACTTTTGATCGGCCATGTTGATGCCATGTGACGTCATAAGATGAACACGATTTCATCATGGCGTATTAAAATTATAGTAAAACCAACAAACGCGGAGACGAAGGCCGTGTTTCTGGCAGTTCTAACTGAGATTATTGCACGAATTCTGAACAGCCTGAAGGAATACCCATGCATCCATTTCCCAACAAAGAAACAGATCCACAGAGTGAAAGAAAGTCAGTGAATTTTATCCGTAAAGATTGACCGCGGGTTTTCACGCATCTGCGAACCTAGTGTTTCGATTGACCCCGTTTTGAAGATTCGTGCTATATCTTATTTTCATTGACAAAACCTTGTAAAATGGAAAGAATACTGAAGGAAGAAACTGTTTATACAATTTACATGGCTAGAATTGTTCCCCTGGCTAAAATACAACTAACAGACGCAAGGCAAGTAATTCAGGTATAGTGAAGTGCAAATTAATATGTTCGTACACGTGGTGAATATTTTGCGCAAATGATGCTATATAGTTAGTCTAAAGTGTTTAACATTTCTTATGTTTTAGAGCATTTGTGGTTGTAAAAAGACTATCTCCTGTTAAGTTAGTTTCTTGTCCAGAGCATGTTGAGATTGAAATAAAGACAATTCAGCATGCCTTGACCTAGTTTCGTCAAGACTTCTGATGAGATTTTAAGAGAAACGATGCCATTGGAGTTTATTCAGTCATATCAATAATACATATTGCATAGTATAAAGTAACAATAAATATAATAATACAATAGTATAATATTGTACTGGTACGCTATTTAATATGCGAGAAATATATTTGTGACTTTGAAGATTAATATAATTTCAAAATATTACAGTATATGTGTTGTTTTTAAAGTTTTATATCTTTAGTTACTTTTTAACCTGAAGATGGAGTTATACTCCGAAACGTAGTTATTAAAATAATCTTTTTATGTTCTGAGCCTATATGGTCTGATTTATTCAAACACAGAATTGCTAAAATGCGGCTTAGAGAAAGTTCCGTCATACAAGATTTGAAGTACATGTGTTATGTGATATTGCACAGTGGCACAATTTTGACTCAATGGAATTAACTGACTCAGTCACTATAGGACTCAAACAATTAAATTAGCATCCATTGTACAGGAGATTAGTTGGACAATTAGCATATAGCAATTGCTTAATATATTCATATTTTGAATATATAAAAGCAACGGTTGAAAGTATTCGGCATAGTCAACATCAAACAGTCAAAACGAAACGAATTTAATTCTACCTGAATGATCAAGATCTATAATTCTACTCGAATATTACAATCGATCGCCCAGTTGGGGAATTATCTGTAAGTTTGTTTATTTATTTTACTAAATTATTGTAGACTAGGTAGTTTATTTGTTTTTGTATTCACTTATAGTTGAACCGTATTAAATCGTATTATTTAGTTGAACCGTATTAAATCGTATTATTTACGCGTTCGTATGTCTTGATTCGGCGATCGAGGAGTAACATAGTTCAAAGATATCTCGACTCAAGAATCTACTCGAAAGAATTGAACGCTAGTAG